TTCAATATCATTTTCATCAGACACAATGTCGATTGCAATGGAATTTGCAAATATTTAATCCACGATAACATCTTTCCTATTCCACTAAGTCTTGGTAGAGACGTAATTCATTGAAATTTCATTCTTATCGATGTTTTGAACATCTTATTCATTCCCCGCAGGGTTATCTTCTTGTTCGTCCCCTTTTGGATTATCATCATTTTCTTTACTTTCATCCACATTTGGTCTTTCTTGACCTTCTGACAGGGGAACATCATTAGTCTCATTTTCTATTTCATCCGATCTTTTCAATTTCCTTGGTTTAGAATCTTTTGAACCAAGTGGTCTCCCACGTTTTCTGCGTGCTTGAGATTCATTCTCAATGGCCATATTATCAGTTGGGATTTCAATACGTGCAGGGGCATTTTCTGCTAGTATATGTGATTTTGTCACCTTCTTTGTGTCTACAAATGCATCAGGCAATTGATTTGCCGTACCACTTTGTAAATGAACAAATTTCTTGACTTCTTGTTCACACATATTTGTTCATGGGTCTAACATCAACAATTATGTTGCATTCCAAATAAGTTCTATTTCTTTCTTGCATGGGTCCACTTTCTCTCCCCCTAAGGCTGGGAATACTGCTTCATTAAAGTGACAGTCGGCAAATCTAGCCGTGAATAAGCCACCAGTCAATGGTTCAAGATATTTAATTATAGAGGGGGATTCAAACCCGAAATAAATTCCCAGCCTTCTTTGTGGACCCATTTTTGTTCGTTGAGGTGGAGCAATGGGAACATATACAGCACAACCAAAGATTTTTAGATGTAAGATACTTGGTTCTCGACCACAAACAAGATGTCACTACTAGAAATAGGTCGATTTACGATGGACCAGTTCCGACGGACATGTTTTTTCCGTCGTAAATTCCGACAGATTTTTATTCCGTCGGAAATTTACGACGGATTTCCTACGGAATTAAAATCCGTCGGAAATTTCCGACAGAATATTCCGTCGGAAAATTAAATAATAAAAAAAACAAAAACAAACCTAAAAACCCTAGAAAACCCAGTTCCCCCCTCCCCTATCATTTCTATTTTCTCTCTCCTCTCCTCTCCTCCTTTCTTCTCTTTCTCTATCCTCTCTTTCTCTCCTCTCTTCTTTCTTCTTCTTTCCTCCATTCCGTCCTATCTTTCTCTCTCTTCTCCTTCCTTCTCTTTCTCCTTCCTCGCCCCTTCTCCTTCCTCTATTGGTTTTTCTTTCTTTCCTCTATACGCCCGTTCTCCTTCCTCGCCCGTTCTCCTTCCTCTATACGCCCCTTCACCTTCCTCTACGCCCCTTTATTTTGTTTTGATTGATGTTTTCCAGCGGGTGGTGTGACGGTAATGTATTGGTTTTTTTGGTCAAATTTGACCATGAAAAGTCTAGATCTAGACTTTTTCTTGATCAAATTTGGCCTTAATAAACCAAATTCGAACTCAATTCGGGTTTAAGGTATGTTTTGTGTTTGTAATTATTTTTTTTGTTTGATTTTTTGTACGAATTTGGTTTGATTTTTTTGTTGATTCGCGGTGCAATGTAAGATATATATTTGTGTTTATAATTGTATTCAAATTTGGTTTGATTTTTTGTTGGATTTTTGGTGAGAAAATGGGTTGGACGTGGTGGTGGTGGTGGTGGTGGGGAGGGGATACGGGTTAGGGTTAGGGTTAGGGTTAGGGTGGTGGGTGGGTTTTTTGGTTATATTTAGGGTGGTGGGTGGGTTTTTCGGGTTAGGGTTAGGGTGGTGGGTGGGTTTTTCGGGTTAGGGTGAGGGTGGTGGGTGGGTTTTTTGGGTTATGGTTAGGGTGGTGGGTGGGTTTTTCGGGTTAGGGTGAGGGTGGTGGGTGGGTTTTTCGGGTTATGGTTAGGGTGGTGGGTAGGGGCAGGGGGTATGGTTGGAAAACGACACTAGTACATAATTGGCATTATGTAACATGTAATTGGTAACACTTCTTGAAATGCAAAATATTAGATTTATAGGTAACACTTTGGTAACACTTTATTAGAATGTAACACTTAATGTAACACTTTTAACATAAGTAACACTCCAAAGTAACACTTTTAAAATAAGTAACATTTTATGGTAACACTAAGAGGTGTTATATTATTTTAAGGTGAATTAAATATGTATAAAAAAAGTAAAAGTCAGTATTAATCCTCAAATTTAATTACCAATTTATTAAAAAAGTTTAGGATTACCGCCAAAGCAATTAAAAATAAATAAATATTGGGCCTCAATTAGCTTAAACCGCCAGAATATTTAAGAAAAAAAAAATAAAAAACCAATCACTCAATTCAAGTTTATTTTCCTCATTCAGCAACGACAATCTTACGTTATCACAAAAAATCCAATCTCTCAATTATTCAAGTTCAATTCGCGCGAATTTTATCACAAAATCAGTCGTCGACTCGATCGTCATTTGGGGTTCCATCAATTCGCGCTTCCAATCAGGTATCTTGTTATTTTTTTGGTGGATTTTTGATGTTTTTGGTTATGTAATCATTAATTTTCATATGAATTATCACAATCTAGTTTATAGGGTTTGTTTTTGATTGGATTTTATATTATTTCAATTGAAATCTGCACCTGTTGTTATTCACGATTTCATGCAAATTTTTATTTTTTTTTTTTTTTTTTTTTTTTTTGTATATTAATGGATTTTCTTATTTAAACGATGTTATATACTTCGTATTATTGATCTTAGGTTTTACTGATTTTCCTAAAAATCATCAATTCTTAAAGAATGACGTGAAGTTGTGAATTTAACACAATTAGTTGATTCAATTCCTAAATCTAAATATATGAACTGGATGAATTTAGTCTCTGGCATTCTAGATGCTACAAACCTGGTATCTTGTTAATATGACTTGTATGAGAGAAAAACAAGACAATTATTGTGGACTTTGTTTAGTTTGAGATATAGCTTTGTTTGTTGTCAACCTAGCTCATTGATTGACTTTTGGTCATGTAATGACTATTGAGTACTTTTCCTTAAGAAGCTTGTCAATGATAAACTCGGTATAGCAGATCTTAGTGGTTTTGTAATGAAAAGTTGATTGAGTTTGTTAAGTAGTCTTGGACTCTCTCTAGTATTCTCAACTTGAAGATGGCAATAAAAATTCGGCAAACAAATTTATTTAGCATGATAGTTGATTATTCTAGTTAATTTAATTGATCCTACTTAGAACCATAATAATTTAAGTGGTTTATTGAGTGGAGGAAATTAGAGTGGAGGAAATTAGCAGTTTCCTTAATTTGAATGTTACTCAAAAAGGTTGAGGAAATTAACATGACATTATTCCAATACTACGTATCAAATTACTCCCTTTGGAAATCAAGATATTATCAATAGTAGTTATTCATCTGTTGCTTTATTGGCTACATTATTGCTACATTATCATTGATTGAATTCTCTTTTGTTCTTGTAGAACACATCTCCAACTCTTAGTTGGTCAATGCCTCATTTAATTTTCTAGATAATAAATGAACGATTGTTTCTCAATTTTGACACAAGAAATTTTCTTAACAGCAGGTTGCTAGGTCCCTATTACTTACAGTTAAAGATCACACTCCTTCATACAATAAATTAGTTAATCTGGCCTGAAATTTGATATTGGGTGAGAAGCCGATTCTTGCTGTTTCCAAAGTCCCAACAGTACCTCCCAAGCTTAGTAAATATCTTGCTTGTATAGGAAAGCTTATGTCATGCTATCCTACTCTTTCTGTTATGTCATGCTTTATGTTCAAAGAACAGCAAACACATCATGTCTCATGTCTTCCCTAGTCCCTTGTACTCTTTCATCAAACTTCAAATCGGGCAGAATCTAATCCCAAACATCTAGCACTACCACGGTTCTTTCATGTTCCATATTAATCAATAATGTTTATGAGTATATTTCAGTTCTCACCTCTTTCTCTCCTTGAAGTCTTCATTTTACCATTAAAAAAATCATGTGGTGTTAAATTTGCAGACTGTTTTATTAGTTTCTTAATTGCAGCCTGGAGTAAAATCTGCTAAATAGTCCACAAATTATTTCATACATTGATGTGAATATCTAACAAGGTCATGAATAGTGAAATAACGAGCTTCATATTTATTAGTTGTCATAAGTCAGTGGTTAAATTTAGTGTCGTGCTACATAATTTACTCTTAACCTTTATTTAATTGTTAAATTTATTTGAGGTCTAATATTATAGTGATAGTGTTTACATTTGGCAGTTTTGAGTTGTGTGGTATCTTTGTGCTCGGGCAGTAGGTGAGTTGTGTCGGCTTCACCGAGGTAGTTTCTACTGTTGACATAGTTTCAATGAACTTTTGTCTTTACATTGCATGATTATAGCTGATTAGACTTTAGCTCTAGCAAGATTAATTTGCCTCAGACTTTTTGCAATATTTATAAAGCTGCGTGTGAGGTAAATTAATCTTGCTAACAGTCTGAGTCTGAGTATTAGCAAGATTAATATCTACCTCAGACTATTAGCTGATTAGAGTTGAGTATAAGCTGATCCTGTGCTCAGGTGATATGCATACTCTTTTTGTGCTCTTTCAGGTGCTTTTATTAATCGTTATATGTACTGCCTGATGCAAGTGTGCTATATGTATTACCTTTTGACTCAGTCTGGCTTGGGTCAGTCAGGTAAATATGAAGTCAAGGCTGAATGTCCTGTGCTCCAAACCCAAACTTAGTGAATACTGAATCTTTACTTTGCTTGATCTGATTGTTTGAAGGCCTAGGTCCTGTAAAAATACTACGTAGTATCATCTAGGGTAAATCATTTCTCTTTATATCCATAATAGATGATTTATTACCTATATCTTTGAAGGCAACTTCATGTGCTGTTATACTAAGCCCCAATCTGTTTGCAATTTCAAGGACCTTTAGCTGAGCACCAATTGATCCACTTTTGTATAGAAGGAATCAGACAAAATGAATGGAAAATTACTTAGATTGCATCCATGATCTCAAACAAAATGAATGGTAATTCTACTTTGAAAATCAGGACATAGTTTTTCTGGCCACTCTCTTTTGAGGTAAATCAGGAAGGTGAAATTAGCAATGTAAACTCTGAACATCAGGCTAATAATTTGTCAGGGGTCTGATACTCTGAAAATTTGTTTGTCACCAATAATGTCCATTAACTGACTGTCTTGTGTGTTCTTTGTAGGAAGCAAGATCTAGATGGCAGAATATGAGAAACTTAGACAAGAAATTATAGAACAAAATAAAATCAGGATGAAGGATTTTGGGGTTACATCCATAGCTTATGAAATGAAACAGTCGATGAAGGGATCGAAACAAACGAAAAAAAGGAAGAAGGTGACTAAAGATACTGACGAGTATACACCTGATGAAGAGGGTGAACTGAACCACTCAAGTGAAGAGGATGAAAATGAGAGAAGAAAACCGGTGTAAACATGAGGTCTCGTTCAAAGAAAGTGGTTCTTTTTTTTTTTTTTTTTTTTTTGTGACAACTTAATTTTGTGAATCATAATTGTTAGAAAATCATGTAATATTTGTTTAATGATGTTCATGAATACTTAATTTCAGGTTGTGGCATTGAGAGGGAAGATAACCACAAACATTAAGGACACGGCAGGTGTCTCTTTGACTAAGATGCGTCTTCAAAACACCGAGAGACAACACTTAGATCACATGGCTAGTTAATTTCAGGTTGTGGCATTGAGAGGAAAGTGATTTATTACTACGATGACAACTACAACCTATTAACATGGCTAGTTCACAGGTGCATTTAGGGAGTTCACAAGCACAAAGTTTTTCACAACCACAAAGATTTGGACATGACTTACAGGAAAATTACGAGAATCATATGAGTTCTTAAAGCCCCATAAAGACCAAATTGTGAAAGAAATTGTAGTAGAATTAATCAAGACGCTCAAGCAAATTGATCCTAAAGTGTTGGATACTTTGACTCGATCACTTGAAAATGTGTCATCCAATCCAGAACTTACACATCATATTCCCATTGTACACTCTAATGAACAACAGCGAAATGAGGTAATGGTTAATATATAATCTTTTAAAAAGCACTAACTCTTATTATTGCGTTATTCCATTTTTGTTCTAGTTGTTTGATATATGATGCTTTTACACATAGGATCAATTGGATCAAGATGAAGAATTAGGATGGCAATTGATGATGCTACAAGAACTTACTTTTACCGCTGTTTTGCTGTTGCTACCGCTGTTTTGCTGCTGTTTTTTGCTGTTACTGCTGTTTTTTCGCTGCTACTGTTGCTGACTCTTGCTACTTCGGTTTGCTGCCACTACTCTCTGCTACTGCTGGTTGCTGCCAACTGCTGTCTGCTATTGCTGGAAGCTGCCACTCCTGTTTGCTACTGCTGGTTGCTGCTAAAGACTGCGGCTAGCAGCTTCTGTTACTGCTTATGCCATTTTGCTAGCTGCGTAGCTGCTGCCATTCTACTAGCTAGCTGTGTAGCTGCTGCTATACGCTGTTATTAATGCTATTTATTGTTATCGCTGACTTTTTTGAAATTTGGAAGTTTTTTGTTTTTCCTTACTTTTTCCAAGCTAGAGATCGAACTTAATTTTCTTTGTGTTTGGATTATTATATTGTTTGGCGAAACATTAAAACTGGTGTTTATGGATTTTTTTTGTAAGAATTATGAAAGTATTTCAATCCAAATTGTTTTCTATCATATGTGTTGATTTCTATTCATATAGTTGTTGTATAAATAATTTTTTTTATATTTAAAAAAAAAATTGTAAATGTTACCTATTAATCTATAAAGTGTTACATTACTTTGAAAAAAGTGATACATAATGTCGAATAAAGTGCTACTATATATCAAAACATGATTGAAAAATGTTACCTAATAATCAACAAAGTGTTACATTAGTTCGAAAAAGTGATACATAATGTTGGATAAAGTGATACTATATGATTGAAAAATGTTACTAAAGATAAGTAAGTGTTACATAAGAAATAAAAAGTAACACTTTAAAAATGATACTAAAGATATAAGAAAGTGTTACATAAGAGGTTATATAGTAACACTTTTAAAATTGTTACCATATGTTATCCAAAGTGTTACATAAGACCTTAGGTAACACGGGCAGATGTATCACCCACTAAAGTGTTACCTATTGTCTATAATAACATTTTTACCACTTTATGTAACACTTTTTGGGTGTTACTTGAGGTTAGTTTTGTACTAGTGCGGGTTTGGTGAGAAAAGGGGTTGGACGTGGTGGTGGCAGGTTAGGGTGGTATGGGCTGGTGGTGTTGAAAAGGGTTTTTGGGTGGCTGAAAGTGGTGGTGGTGGTTTTTTTTTTTTATTTTTTTTTTTTTTTTATTTTTTTTATGTGTTGTTTCCGGCGGATTTGTACCCCGTCGGAAATTTTCGACGAACTTTCCGGTGGCCGGAACTCCTCTTCCGACGAGAAAATTCCGTCGGAAAACACTGTTCCAACGGAAAAGGCCGTTTTTTCTACAAATTGTTTTACGACAACTTGTTCCAACGGAAAAACGGGTTTTTCGACGGATTTTAGGGTGTTTCCGACGGAATTTTTCCGTCGGAAATGGCCTGTTTTCTAGTAGTGTGTAGTAGTGAGAATTTATGATAAGCTGTAGGTCTCAATTTAATTAGTGCTGCCGCATGTATTATAGCATGTCCCCAAGCAGATGATGACAATTTTGACCTCATTAATAATGGTCTTGCAATCAATTGTAATATCTTAATTAGTGATTCAGCTAAACCATTTTGTGTATGAACATGAGCTACTGGGTGTTCAACATCAATTCCAATTGACATACAATAATCATTAAATGTTTGGGATGTAAATTCCCCAGCATTGTCGAGTCTTATTTTCTTTATTGTATGATCTTGAATTGTGCTCTTAATTTGATAATTTGGGCAAGTAATTTTACAAAGGCAACATTTCTACTTGAAAGCAGATTGACATGTGACCATCTTGTAGAAGCATCAATTAAAACCATGAAATATCGAAATGGTCCACATGCCGGATTAATTGGCCTGCAAATATCTCCCGGAATTCTTTCCAAGAATTTTGGAGATTCAATAGCAATTTTATTCATAGATGGTCTTATTATTAATTTGCCAAGAGAACATGCAGAGCAGGTTAATTCATCCGATCGAGAAATTTTGACATTTCTTATTGAATGTCCAACTGAATTTGCTATTATTCTTTGCATCATCCCAGTTGCTGGATGTCCCAAATGATCATGCCATAAAATAATCAAATGTTTTGTCATCTAACTTTTGGTTAGATATCATATTGATTTCCACGGGTCGTATGTTTATACAATATAACCTCGAAGAATATGCTGGCAATTTCTCATAAACGTGTTTCTTGCCATATTTTCTTATTGTGAGGCATAAATACTCCTTTTGACCTGTTGTCATTGTTTCTAAATGTTAGCCATTTTAGCATACATCTTTAAAGCTTATGAGATTTTTTCGAGATTTACTCGAGTATAAAGCATAAACCATAAATAATATAGTTCTTTTCTCCCCCTTGGTTTATTATTGTGAGTAATTATATAATTGGGCAAAAATAAATCATATTAGTCGCATAAACAGCAAAACAACAACAACAACAACAGTAGTAACAATAATTATAATAATAACGGTAATATTATACAATGATGATTAATAACAACAAAACAATATAATAAAACAAAAACATGCTTTTAACCTACTAAAATGACAAAATAAACAATCTTCACTTGTACGTCATGACAAAAATTAATATTTCTACTAACAGAACTACAAGCGCCATAATTAGAAGAAATATTGTTTTATCTTCCTTAACTCTTTCTCAAAAGTGAAGGTGTGAGTGTTTTGGGTGTTTTGATTGCCGTCGTTGGGGAACATATCGGAGAAGAAGGGGGTGAAAAATTTTGGGTGATTTTTGGATAAAAAAAATGGGAAAGGATAAGGGATTTGTGGTGAAATCGGGGGGAAGATCTGCTTTTTATATAGGTAGGTTTATCCGTTACTATTCTGTACAACTGTAAAAGTATCATATAATAGTTTAATGTACTGACAAAATTATGGTCCAAGTATAAATATTTATAATTGTAAAAGGTTATCACACTGGGAATGTAAGACATAGTGGTCCAAGAGCCCTAATATCTATCAAAGATCATGGGTTCGAAAACGGAAAGAAACACAAAAAGTATGTAAAAGAAAGAAAAAAAAAAGTAATAAGTATAAAAGGTGAGTATGTAATCATGCATGAATCAAACAAAAACCAAGATACCAACATGAATAAAACAAGGGAGGATAGTAATGAATTCATAAGTAAGAGAATTTTTCACCGTTGTTTTTTTTTTTTTTTTTTTTTTTTTTATGTAATATATGATACAATAAATGTTTGAGTTTCTGGTATAGAGGATTCCAAAATATGGGCAAATATAGAGTATACTCCTCAAAACATTTAGAAGTAGATAGTATTTATTTGTTATAATTTTGAGAAGTAGGTATAAATATACCTGATTAGGAATTGGTGTTGATAACGTGTTACAAAGGTGACTTTCTAACTATAGAATGATATTGAAAATAGGAAAGTGAATAAGTACAGAAACTTTGCTATGGTTAATTTTTATTGCCTTCTTCATAGTTCACAATGGTGAACTTATTTATAGGCAAAATATTGTCATACAATTATTTGCACAATTGTACTATTATACAATTCAAATACTAAGTTTTCTACCAATTATTGTACTAGAGAAGTTCATGTGAACTTCACTTTATATTATTTTCAACAAGAAGAAAATTCTTGCAGAGTGCCAATCAATGTGCAATTGATTAACCACTTTCAATGTCCTTATCTCAAGAGTCAAAACACCATTTATAAAAGGGCCCCATAAATAACAGACTTCCATACTAGTAGACTAGTACTAATGCAACTAACATTCAAACTTACACTAGGATCATTAGCCTAGCAGGGTAACCAATTTTTGACAATTCTACTACTGAGTACTGAGTATTCACAAAGCTTATCTCACCAAACTTACCTTCAATTCACCTATAAAAACACATAAAAAAAAATGTATATACTTGTACAAAAAATCAAACAATCACAAAAAACCCAAAATCCCTGCAAAAAAATGTTGCCAAAAATCTCTCATTTGAGTAAATTCTAATGTCTAATTCTACTTCTCAATATAATCCAGCATTCAAATTCTCAACCAGTCACAAATGGCTATACTTGCACAATTAACAGCACAACCACCAATTACCCATGTCAAACCTATGTATTATACAGAGCTACATCCCCTGATTTCTTAGACCTTGCTTCAATTGGTGACATCTTCAATGTCAGCAGACTTTCAATCTCAAAACCCAGCAATATTTCAAACCCATCTTCATCTCTTCTCCCAAATCAACCCCTTTTCATCCCTATTTCATGTGGGTGTCACCCTGTTCAAAATCAAACCCTTAAATCCCTTTCTTTTGTTAAAATGTCCTATACTTTCAAACCAGAAGATAATTTTTATAGAGTTTCTACTGAAATTTTTGGTTATCTAACTAGTTACAACTCTACTCAAATTATTAACCCTAATGCTTAATCTTTCTGTTGGGGTTGATTATTATTTTCCTATTTTCTGTAAGTGTCCTAATAATACCCAGTTGAGGGATAATGTTAATTTCTTGGTTACTTATGTTTTTCAGCCTGATGATATTTTGGATAGTGTTTCGGGTGAAAACAATGGGACCTTGTCGAAGGTCCGATGAAGTGGAGAAGACTGGATTCGGTCCAAGTGATGTTGGGCCGAAGGTTTCCTGCACAGTAAACACACGTAAACTAGCCTCGGGGGTGTTGCCGAGGAAGGCCCCTCCAATGCTAAAGTCAGTACAGTGTGTAGAAAGAGAACACTATGCAAGAGAATTAATTGCTTGAGGCTTTGCTTGAATGAATGTACAAATGTAATATTGATGGCTTTTATACCTTTGCATATATGGAGAAGTTGGGCCTTAGCCCAATTGGCTTGCCTTGAGGACTGATCTTTGACTTTAGCACAATTGGAGAGATGAACCTTGACCTTGGGCTTTTAATTGGATCATTTAATGCCTAGGCCCAATTGGACTAAATTGGACCCAAACAACTTGCCTCCCAGACCCGATTTGGAAGGATGACGGGTCGGGTTTGATTTAATCAGAAAAGGAGGGAAGTGAATGATAATTAATCCAAAAATTTGAATTTAAACCGTAATTAATGAGATAACAACAGTTAAGGCGAATAATTGTGGAAATTGGACGGATAATGGGCAGTTTAATCGCAAGGTCGTGTGTTTAACGGTTACTTAGTGGGGTATTTAAGAGAAATTGAAACGCGGACTCCCCGTATTCCCATTTCTGGAGATATAATTAGAGGCGCGTCATCTCTCCTCACTTATTCACCAACACAAACCCAGAATTCTCGAGAGAACCCAAGAACCCGCATCAAAACTTCGCAACTTCCCCGAGCATTAAGCTTAGAAACTGAGACTCGCCACTACCAATTCGTAAATCGGCAACTTTCGCTTCAGATTAAGGTAAATTCCTTTGATTTTAGTTTATTTTTCTTCGAATTTGAACTCCTTCCCCTTTTT